TCTATCCTTCTTTTTAGATTTTCTGGGGGGGGGGGGGTTGGGGTGGTATGAAGTTCGAAATGGGTGACGTTCTATTATATATTATTTTTTTTGTGTTCTATTTCTTTTAGCTTTTTTTTTTTTATTTGGTCTTTTTTCTATCCTTCTTTTTTAGATTTCTGGGGGGGGGGGGGGGTGATGAAAGTTCGAAATGGGTGACGTTCTATTATATATAATATTTTTTCTATTTCTTTTACTTTTTTTTTTTTATTTGGTCTTTTTTTTCCATCCTTCTTTTTAGATTTCTGGGGGGGGGGGGGTTGGGTATGAATTTCGAAAATGGGTGACGTTCTATTATATATATATATTTTTTTTGTTCTATTTCTTTTACTATTTTTTTTTTTATTTGTCTTTTTTTCTATCCTCTTTTTTAGATTTCTGGGGGGGGGGGGGGGGTTTTGGGTGAATTTTTCGAAATGGGTGACGTTCTATTATATATATTTTTTTTCTATTTCTTTTACTATTTTTTTTTTTTTTTTATTTGGTCTTTTTTTTCTATCCTTCTTTTTAGATTTCTGGGGGGGGGGGGGGTTGGGTATGAATTTCGAAATGGGTGACGTTCTATTATATATATATTTTTGTTCTATTCTTTTACTATTTGTTTTTTTTTTTTATTTTTTTTTTTCTATCCTTCTTTTAGATTTTTTCTGGGGGGGGGGGGGTTGGGTATGAATTTCGAAATGGGTGACGTTCTATTATATATATTTTTTGTCTATTTTTTACTTATTTTTTCTTTATTTGTTTCTTTTTTTCTATCCTTCTTTTTAGATTTCTGGGGGGGGGGGTTTGGGTATGAATTTCGAAATGGGTGACGTTCTATTATATATATTTTTGTTCTATTTCTTTACTATTTTTTTTTTATTTGGTCTTTTTTTTCTATCCTTTTTTAGATTTCTGGGGGGGGGGGGGGGTTGGGTATGAATTTCGAAATGGGTGACGTTCTATTATATATATATATTTTTGTTCTATTTCTTTTCTTTTTTTTTTTTTTTTATTTGGTCTTTTTTTCTATCCTTCTTTTTAGATTTCTGGGGGGGTTTGGGTATGAAATTTCGAAATGGTGACGTTCTATATATATATATTTTTTGTTCTATTTCTTTTACTATTTTTTTTTTTATTTGGTCTTTTTTTATCTTCCTTCTTTTTATCCTTCTTTTAGATTGTTTTCTTTTTTGTTTTGTTTCGTTGTCACATTTTTTTCTTTTCTCTGGCATTTGGTTATGTCTTTTCGCGCTTTTTTATTATTTATTATCGTAATTTTGTAGGGTTTCGACTGATAAGAACCACTAAACTAAATATATCGACACTATTTTTAGAAATATATATATAAATCCCAAAAATAGAAGAGATATTCATGAGGATGTGATGAGAAGCAGAACAAAGGAGTAAAACAATAAAAAAAGATAAAGTTTTAGCGTTAATGATGTTAGAATCAAATACTTTTAAGTAGGTTAGATATTCTAATATTTTTCCTTATATAACAAACCTGTATAACAAGACTATAACAGTAGCACAGTACGTAAGTTATGTCGTAAAATACACGCACATACAAGCACAGTAAACAAAGAAAGCAACATATAAGAACACACACACACACCCTCTCTCTCTCTCTCTTTCTCTTTTTCTCTTCTCTGCTCTCTCTCTCTCTGCTTATATTCTCTCTCTCTCTCTCTCTCTCTCTCTCTCTCTCTCTCTCTCTCTCTCTCTCTCTCTCTCTCTCTCACTCTCTCTCTCTCTCTCCTCACACAACCTCAACACTACACACACACACACACACACGATTGAGAATCACAATACCCGCCACCACCACCCCATCTCTCACATAATCTACCTCCTGCCTCTCCGTCACATCTACTTCTCCCCTCCTCCTCCTCCTCCTCACTCATTCATCTCCATCCTCTCCTCCTCATTCATCTCCCTCCCCTCCTCCTCCTCCTCCTCCACTCCGCTCCTCCTCCTCCTCACTCCTCTCTCCCTCCTCCTCCCTCCCTCCCCCTCCTCTCTTCTCCCTTCTCCTCACCACTTACTCCTCTCCCTCCTCGCCTCTCCTCACTCACTTCTTCCCTCCCTTCTCCCTCATCTCCTCCTCCCTCACTCACTCCTTCTTCCTCCTCCTCCTCACTCCTCCTCTCCTCCTCCCCTCTCCTCCTCCTCCTCCCTCCTCCTCCTCCTCCTCCTCCTCCTCCCCCCTCCTCCTCCTCACTCACTCCTCTCCCTCCTCCTCCTCCTCACTCTCCTCTCCCTCCTCTCCTCCTCCTCCTTATCCTCCTCCTCCTCCCTCCCTCACTCCTCCCTCTCCTCCTCCTCCTCACTCACTCCTCTCCCTCCTCCTCCCTCCCTCCTCCCTGCCTTCCTCCTCCTCACTCCTCTCCCTCCTCCTCCTCCTCCCTCCTCTCCTCCTCCCCTCCTCCTCCTCCTCCTCTCCTCTCCCTCCCTCCCTCCTCACTCTCTCCCTCTCTCCCTCCCTCCCCTTCTCCTCTCCTCCCTCTCTCCCCTCTCCTCCTCCTCCTCACTCACCTCCTCCTCTCACTCCTCTCCTCCTCACCTCCCTCCTCCTCCTTCACTCTCCTCTCCCTTCTCCTTCTCCTCTCACTCACTCTTCTCCCTCTACCTCACTCACTCCTCTCCCTTCCCCTCACTCACTCCTCTCCCTCTCTTCTCCCTTCTCCCACTCCTTCTCTCCCTCCTCCCCCTCCTTCCTCCCTCCTTCTCCTCTCCCTCACTCCTCTTCTCCCTTCCTCTTCCTCACTCTCTTCTCCCTCTCCTCACTCACTCCTCTCCCTCTTCCCCTCTTCCTCACTCACTCCTCTCTCCTCTCCTCCTCCTCCTCCTCCTCCCTCTCCTCACTCACTCACCCCCGCTGCCTCCTGCTTCTCCTCTTCGTTTCCGTCGTTCTGCCACCAGGGGACGGGGCTCGAGCCATCCTGGGTGCAGAGGTTAGAGCGCAGGTCATACACAGGTCAAAGGTCAAAAGTCAAGGGTCAAGGGCGCCGAGATTATCATTTGAGCGATTTTTTTTTTGGGAGTTATTTTTAGAATTAGAAGCTTGGTGGTTTAAAGCTTGTTAAAGGGGTTGTTATTTCTTGTTAAAATAATCGTTATCGTTAATGTTACTGTTATACATGGATGCATTTTTTTTTTTTTTTTGAATTATGGGATTATTTTGTTTTTATTGTTATTTTCAGAAATTTGCAATGAGCATTAGTGTTACATTTATTGATAACAAACTGAGAAAAAAAAATCAAAATGAAAATTCAAAATTGGGGATAATGGCGCAAAGCAAATTAGGAAATACATATTAATAAAGCTTAATAATAGTAAAGAAAAAAATAAATGTGATCCTAGAAACATAAAAGAAATGAATAATGGCGCGGGTGATGAAAGTGAAAGTGTTTATGAACTTATTTTCCTTTTATTAAAATCAAAAAACGTTTCCTTGGTTATTCGATCCGTTTCTCTACCGCGCAATCCACATCCGGAAAAAAAAACGTTTCTTTTTCCCGTTAGATCGATCCACCTCCACGTAATCCACTAACCAAATGTGGAATACAATGACCCGTAGACTTACCTCAGGTGGTTGACGGACTTGGTGCTCCAGCAAAGGCCAAGAGGGTTTTGCTAACTGTACAGTATAGGACAAACCATTTGATTTATTTCCTGATATATATATAAAATACTTTTTTTTTTGTTGTTGTTGTTTGGCATTTTGGTTAAACTGATGTTAAAATGATGGAACAATGTATGAAATTTATTCATATCAATATACGATAATGCGATTTCCAATGTTTATCTTTATTATAACAGCAACAGAATCGGTTGTTTGTCATATAGTGTAAAAAGACTATTTTGTAACTAGCTACTCTGCCTCCTCGAAGATTGTCAAAATGGCCCCTTACCTTGTGTCCATCTTTGTTGAGGATTTCCGAAGAATTCTGCAATGGGAGAAGAACAGGGGGGGGGGGGGTATTCAATCACATGCAACAGGGAATGACATACAAGTTACAGGGTGTTACAGTTAGGTTCCGTGAAGTACAGTAACTTCCAATAAGTTACGGTAGTTTACAGGATATTACAGCACGTTACAACATTTCACTAAATTAAAGTGAACGGCAAAAAAGTTACAGTAATCTAATATAAAATTCCTATGAATCCCAGTTAATTACAGGACATTACAAAGAGTTACAGTGACCCAAAAGTAATCACTGTACAGTAAACACGGCTCTGTGGAAAGAGTGAACGTTCAACATGCAGACTGATAACGAAACAAAGACGGGATTCGTTCATGTGGAAGGTCACTGAACACACTGTTGACTGGACGAGAGAGGAATCAACACTGCAACACTGAGAGGAAAACACTGGGCGGAGTGGCCAGCGGACCGAGGCTAAGCGCCGACGAAAACCCATACCACTAATTGGTCTTTAAGTTGTCTTTCGTCAAATTTAAATTCAAATTTTAAAGTTTAAATCTTATCTGTCCTCTTTGAAGTAATTGTACTAATTATCTTTAAATCTTATCTGTACTCTAAGGTAATTGTACTAATTATCTTTAAATCTTATCTGTACTCTATGAGGTAATTGTACTAATTATCTTTAAATCTTATCTGTACTCTATGATTGTACTAATTATCTTTAAATCTTATCTTACTACTCTGAGTAATTGTACTAATTATCTTTAAATCTTATCTGTACTCTTACGAAGTAATTGTACTACTAATAACTAACTAGATGCAATTGGTTGAATGTGTACTAAGTGTACTAAACTAATAGGAAACACTAAGGGTTGTGTAAGAGGACTTTTATACTCACCGTGAAGAACGAAATTAAAAGAAAAGTACACCAAGTGAAACAATATGAAAAAATACAAAAAAAAAAAAAAAAAATCAGCCTCGCCGTCTGATATTGAAATAATAATATAATAAATAATAATAATAATATAATAATAATAATATAATAATAATAATAATATAATAAATGTCAAATAAAGAAAAACTAACATCACAACGAACTGAAACGAGAACAGAAAACCGACTCGGCTATTAAAAAAAAAAAAAAAAAAAAAAAAAAAAAAAAAAAAAAAAAAACGATAAAAAAAAAACACAGAAACGATAAAAAAAGAGAGAGACTGGAAATAACTTTTTTTTTGATGCGCCGCCCTTACCCTGCTGAGGTTGGTGGTCTCCTGCTGCGGCGCCGGCATGGGTGGCGGCGTGGAGGGCACGGACTGGGGCGTGGAGGGCGCGGAGCTCTGCTGGTCCCACGGGGGCGTCCAGCGGTTCGAGCGCCGCCAGTGGTCGCCCTGCCACTCGCAGTCGGCGGCCGCGGTGCCCGGACTCGCCGACCCGGACGATTCCCGACGCTGGGCCGACTTCGGGGGCCTGCGGGAGTCGGGGAAGGGGGGGGCGTGTCAGAACAGGGTTTTGAACAAAAAACAAAAAACAACAAAAAAAAAGAACAAAAACCAACAGGGCGATGGTTTTTGAAAGCGGAGAATCCTCCCTAACACACACTGTACATATAGCCTGCAGTATAACTATTACATACAGTATATGCCATACATATACACATAGCATACAGTATACTAATATATAGTGTATAATATACATATAGCATATAAAATACATACTACATACAGTATACACATAGCATACATCATACATATACTGATATACTTATAAAATTAGTGTACATTCTTCAAGAGCGAAAGGCATTTGATAAGGTTTCGTGTAAATTTGGCACAATTCCTTACAAAAAAAAAAAAAAAAAAAAAAAAAAAAAAAAAATCCTTGGTGTGGTTTGTATTTTGGAATATATATCTGCAGGACTAAATTGGCGAAAAGTCATTGCCTTGTTTACATACACTCTGCATACATTCATATTATACATTCATCCTTTCCTCTCTCTCTCTCTCTCTCTCTCTCTCTCTTCTCTCTCTCTCCTTCTCTCTCTCTCTCTCTCTCTCTCTCTCTCTCTCTCTCTCTCTCTCTCTGTGTGTGTGTGTGTGTGTGTGTGTGTGTGTGTGTGTGTGTGTGTGTGTGTGTGTAAGTGCGTGCGTACGTACCTGTGTATGTATCTGTGTGTGTGTTCGAATGTATGTCTCTATCTCCTCTGTTCTTTACATACACAATAGATTTCTAAATAATAATAACGATAAGTATTAGCACACGGAAAACACACACGCAAAATAAAACGCAAAAAGGCGACAGCAATAACATAAAACCGGGACCATCAGCTGACACCTTCCTTGTTAGTCTGGCAAAGAGGGTTGACACGCCTGCAAGGGAAAGCAAGTGAGTCAGCTGTTCTATATTGCAGTTCTCTTGCAGCTGTTCGGAGTTACATGATTACGGGAATACACGATGAGGTTGTCCGGGTGAGTTTGGCACTGGCTTCGGCTTCTAATTCTTGCTATCGACTCTTTCTTTGGCTATGTCTATTGAGGACATCGTATGAAATTTCCTTGAGACAGAAATAAGGAGGTGAATATTTGTCAAAAATGCTATATTTCTTATGTCTATTTCTTCTCTGCTTCATCAAGAACTGTGCACGGTTAGGGAGGAGAGATAAGGTTTATCTTAGTAATTCTATAGTGCTTTGTTTTGACATGTCTTAGCATGTTTCGGTAACTGGAATGTTCTCCAGAGACACTAAGCTTTGCACAAGTTATCTGTAAACCTAGAAAACAAAGAAAAAAAAACAGAGGATAAAAAAACATGTAAATCTAAATCTAGAAAAAAAATCTAAAAAGACGAAGAAAAAAAAAAGAGAATGAAAAAAAACATTAAAGTACAAAAATATAGGAGAAGGTATAAAAAAGAACTGTGACTTTCTCTTGAACTGTTTTTGTCTCTTGAATTGTTGATAGCAACATAGAATTAGACTGTGACCTTAAAGCTCGCGTTACCATGGCAACAAGACCCAAAACCCAATTCTACGGCGTTAGTGTCGAAGCGTGAGTCATATTAGTGTACTCGGTTCATGGAATCTCACAGAGAAAATAATTAATCATGTGTGGACCTACCTACAAAACATTTTATCAAGAAACACGATAAATACACACCAGATTAAATTAATGTAAAAAATGGGAGATCACGCACTCTAAGAATACACCTACAAAAAGGTTTAAATGGTGGCTAGAAAGAGAAGAGAAAAAAAGAGTATTCTGTAGACAGACTTAGATCACCTTAGGACAGAAGAAGGAAGGGTAGGGCGAACAGACATGACATCGACCTGTGACGAGACATGACAAGGAGTGAGGTAAGACACAGTGAAGTGAACAGTGAATTTTGGAGGTACTAAGCGTGTGTATGTGTGGAGTGGGGATTGCTAGTACTATGCACAGTACAGTGAAGATACCTTGACGATACTCTACACAGTGAATGTACACTTGGCCACAAGAATTCGCTGCTGTGTAGCCTCTATGTTTATACCAATGAGCGGCAGAAGCTGTTTAAATGTTTCTTTTTTGCCTTATTTTATTTTTATAATTTTTTGAATAGCTGATTGTTATCAATCAAGAATTTATACAGACATATACAATAATTGGTGATACTCTACTGCTGTGTAGCCTCTATGTTTATACCAATGAGCGGCAGAAGCTGTTTAAATGTTTATTTTTTGCCTTATTTTATTTTTATCATTTTTTGAATACCTGATAGTTATCAATCAAGAATTTATACAGACATATACAAAATAATTGTAGCTAATATCACTGGCCATCTTACAGTGTCCTCGGCTTAGTTGACCTCCTGGGCGAGTGTAAAGGGACGAACCTCAGTCAGTGTAGCTACAGTATCTGCTCTGATGTGAAAAGGGAGGAAGAAAAATACGGAAAAGGGAGATAGAAAGAATAAATTAATTTTTAAACTAATAAAGGGAAGCAATTTAGAAGAAACACAGGAAAAAAAGAGGCAAAATGAAGAAGAATAAAAACAAAATATGGAAAGAAAAATAGATAAATAAAAGCAGGAAAACATGCAATTCAAAATAAAAAGACGGAATGAAAATAGAAAGAAAGAAACACAGAGAGGGAAAGAGAGAAGAAAAAGCTCAATATATAATATATATATATATATATATATATATATATATATATATATATAATATATATATATATATATATATATGTGGACTTGCAATTGCGTCAGGAATGGAATGCAAATTCGAAAAAAAAACAAAGAACCCAAACTGAAGGAAACACACGGCAGTTGATATCAATCTTAAAAATAACAACCCAGGCGGAGATTTATATACTGATGTTATCATTCAATGTCATTTCTGTAGTTTTTTATCCAGAAAATAATTCCTGGAATATATCACTATATTGATATGCTTGTATATGCGTTTTCACTGTATATCTGTAAGCTTAAGTGATTCTGGAAATGTTGATGCACAATTAAACTATCATATTATGTATTAGGAAGCATGTGTATATATAATATATATATATATTATATTATATAATATTATATATATATATATATATATATATATATATATATATATATGCATACTTTTTATGTACAGTAATTGAAGTATGTAATTTCTTATGCAAAAGAGAAAACGTGGCCAAGAATATCAATTAGGGTTTTGAATTAATTTCAATTAATTAATTATCACAGACATTTATCCCGTTGAAGTTATTATTGCTTACCCCAAGCTCTAAGACAGAAAGCCTATAAAGGGAAAACTATAAATGTAAACTTTTCCCAGAATTAGACGAGGGGAAATAGGAATCACATTCCTTTACATGAAAAGTGAAGAGCAAACATTCTACATTCAACTGCTACATACGAGAACACTGTTCCCATGACGTAAGAACAGTGTGTCGATTATTTCCTTGACGCGAAAAGATACTCGAGTGATTAAACGATACAAAAATAAAGCCCTTTTTAATGAGGAGATACAATCAAGGTACAAATTTTATCTCTACAGGAAAAAACAACGAAAAAAAAATTACACCGGCAGTCTCTACCAATACAATCAAGGGTCGGAATCTGTTTTATCACTGGGAATCAAAACCAGAATTTTATAAAGAAAAATGTATATAAATCACTTTTTTTACTGGAGGAGGAACAGGGCCACACACCACAGCAGGGTGGGGTCAACCCATGCAAACTACAAGACTTTATTTACATGGCAAGTTTCTTAATATAAGCCTTCAGCTTCTTCTTTGACGGCATTGTCTCTACCTGAAAACATGGAGGAATAATTTTTAATTTTATTCGCTTCGAAGGAACTTGGGGTAGGTTTAGCACACACACACCAAACGCACACACACACACACACACATACACACATATATATGTGTGTGTATACATACATATATATGTACATATACATTTTATTATATAATATAATATATATATTATATATATATATATATATGTATGTATGTATGTATATATATATACATATATATAATATATATATATATATATATATATATATATATATATATATATATATATATATATAAATGTACGCATCTATATATGTATACATATGTATGTATGTATATGTAACTATATAAATATATATATTATACATATATATACATATATATATACATACGTAACACACACACACACACACACACACACACACACACACACACACACACACACACAACACACACACACACACACACACACACACACACACACACACACACACACACACACACACACACACACACACACATATATTATATATATATATATATATATATATATATATATATATATTATATATATATTATATATATATTTTAATACTTGTCTACTGAATGGTGATTTAAACAACATCAACAAAATAAATTCATATATATAACACTTTGCCAAGGCAGTATCTTAATCTAAAAGCAACGTGATTTACTTAGCAGCCTTAAGGAAACCAGAGTGACTGCTAAATTGAAAGGGTAATCTCTATTAAAAATGAAATAGAATTACGTTTATACCAATATAAAACTACATTTGATATTTCTTAACATTATGAAGATAATACACTGGGTTTTTTGTACCTTACACACGTCTAGCATTCATATCATAGCTTTCTATTGTCAACTGTCACGGGCAGCTTATAACAACTCAATCTTTATATTCCATGTACATATATTTATGCCTGTGTTGAAAGCTTTACGTTGGAACATATTGTTATCTAGAATGTCCTTATGACTCGAACTAAATTGCTTTTAATACTAAACATCAACTGAACGTCCGTATAACTTAACTAAATCAATTTTAATACCACGCATCAGCTGATTGGGACTTCTCATGCAATGACTCAACGTTACATAAATAGCCGTCCTATTAATCGTATTTTGCATATCATTAATGAACTGACGGTTTCCTCCCACAGGGTAGAAAGGGGATTGTGTCGACTCTATTTTTTATGAACAAATCCCTATTTATATTTTATCTATTTACTTATTTATTATTTATTATTTATATTCTATACGTTCATGATCTTTAAAGTAACCTATTCACTGTCCATCCTATCGCTGGTTATTTATCTCACTAACCTTTTATCTATCTATTCATTTATTACTCATCTTATTCACTTTTTTATCTATCTATTTATTACCTATTTCCAATAACCGTCTTTTTCTTTCTTACATCAAATGAAGCACTTGACAACAACAACAACAACAATCACTGAGTTTCTTTATTCAAATTGAAGAAAACTGCTTAATGTAACTTAAATAGAATAAATGAAAGTCGAAAAACAAAAAATCATGATAAAAATGTCAAGGGAAAAACGATGAAAATAGTGAAAGGAGAAAAAGTAGGCGAAGAAAAAAAAAACAGGAGGAAGAAAATTAATCTAATAAACATAGAACATAAAGAAAGAAAATGGTAAAGAAGGAAATCAAGTTAATAATGGCCAATGAGAAAGAAAAAAAATTGAATTCAGAACTGCGATGGACACCTAGCTCGTAAAAAGGAAAACGAAAAAAAGGAGAAATGAAGAAAGGAAGAGAAACTGGCTTCATCTCGAGGCCAGCCAAGACGAGTCAAGGGCAACAGCTGTTTCATTAGGACTTGTGATTCGACAGTTTTATCTGTTTCTGTCACTAGATTTCTCTGCCTCTCTTTATCCTCTCTTTTCTTTCTTTTTTTTCCGTTTGATGTGTTACTCACTAACTCTTTTTCTTTCCTTTCCTTTCCCCTTTCCCTTTCTCTCTCTCTCTCTCTCTCTCTCTCTCTCTCTCTCTCTCTCTCTCTCTCTCTCTCTCTCTCTCTTCTCTCTCTCTCTTCTCTCTCTCTCTTTCTCTCTTCTCTCTCGTGCTTATCATCTCCCTCCCTCATTCTCTATGATTCTAGTGTCTATATCTGCCTGTCTGCCTGCTGTCTGTCTGTATGTCTGTGTGTCTGTTTATTTATCTGTCTGTCTGTCTGTCTCTATTTCCTCTCCTAACCTCTCCTTTCTCTCTCACTCTCCGTCTCGTTTCTCTCTCGCTTTCTCTTTCGCAAACTTATAAATACCCTCCTCTCCCCTTTTCCCTCCCTCCCCCTCCCTCCCCCTCCCTTCCCTCCCCTTCCCCATCCCCTTCCCTCCTTCCCTTCCCCTCCCCTTCCCCATCCCCCTTCCCCCTCCCTCCTCCCCCCAGCGTCTGATCTTGGCCTCGAATAAGCCAAAGAAGATCAAGGCTAAGAGAGAGAGAGAGATTCCAGAGGAGCGAGCAAGGTCTCAGCCGCGCTTGTCACCCGCCCCCCTCACTCTTGGCAGGTCCTAATTAAAATGTGCTATAATTATCGCCTCGTCATTAGTGAAGTCAAAGGAGGAAGGGAGAGGAAGTCGCGTATGTCATTTTTTTTTTTTTTTTTTTTTTTTGAGATGTGACATTGGTTTGGTTTCGAAAGTGTCGTCTCGACTTTCTGTCTAATCTGTCACGTATGTCATCGTTATTTTTTCATTTTTTTTATTTTATTTTTCATTCTTTTTTATTTTTTATTTAGAGGTGAGGGGGGTAAGGTATAATACATGCTTCAAGTTCTGATAAAAGTGTTTCTTCTTTATGCATACTAAATTCAATTAAAAAACAAACAAACAAACAAATTTAGCACACTTATCGACCTCGCCCCCCCCCCCTTTATTCACCCACCCTCTTTCAACCTCCGTCTTAGCACCCTTATCGAGCCACAGCCAGCCCTGCCCCAACCCCTCTCCTCCCCCTCCCTCCCGATGAATCACTCCCAAACCACGTTCTCCCCTTCCCATACCCCCCCTCCCTCCTCCCTCCCCACCCCAGGTCTCCGCCCAGCTCAGCGGATAAACAAACGTATTACATCAGCCTGGAGGAGCCTCGCGCAAGGTCACCGCCGCCGTGTGGTTCAGATCCCTAGGATTCTTGGCTCCCGCCCTCGGCTCTCTTCCCCGCTCGCTCTCTCGGCTCCCTCACGTAGGGTCTTGGGCGGTCCCGGAGCGCGGGCGGTTGAAAACCACACACACACACAAGACGC